ACGAATGCCACCCTGTCCAGCTGGGGAGGGGTTATTGGATGCCATAAGAGGCCCACCTATATCCTGGAGCTATCTGCGATCAAGCTGGGTCTGGATCGATGGACGGATCTTCTCCAAGGAGGCCCAGTCATGTTCTGATCTGACAAACGTTGCTGTGCTGGCTGGTATCCACTCCAGGACAGTATGAGGAGTGCAAACAGTGGCATTGGAGGTCTCACACATCCCTCAGTGAGCAGACCTTCATGTACCAACTCTCTCCGACTTGTACATTCCAGGCACTGGGAAAAGGCAGGTGGATGCCTCAGTCGTCTGATGTTGAATCGGGGAGAGGGGTCCCTACACCCACCCGTGTCCCGTCTGATCTGCCTTCCATGGGGCTCCCAGGATTTGGGTCTTCTGATGTCTCTCCTCCAGGTTCTTGGCAGGAGAAAGGAGTCCCCTGAAGGATGTGACAGGTATGCTGGTGGCGTGTGGGGTCAGTATTGTCTAACGTTCCTTTCTCTCTGGCTGTGCATGAAGGAGGCCAAATGGATTCCAGTCAGTTTGGTGGCTAGCTAGTCGCGGATGCCCCCTGGTAGCTGCCATTTACTAAGAACTTACTTAGTACATTGTACTAAGGACCGGTCCTCCACCCTGCTTGCCATCTCTGGTTTTGAGAGCATGGCTATAGACAGCCTGGTTTTACAAGTCAGGGGTTGTCGCATTTGGTGATCCCGACTATGTTGCCTGTGTGCGTGTTTTCCTCTTGGGAGATTTATCAGCACACTTGGAATGCTTACATTATCTGGTGCATGGCTTTAGGTGTTCATCCACTCCATTTCTCCGTGGCTAGGGTTTTGGGCTTTTTCAACAGGGCACTGCAGAAGGGCTGCCTTGCATACCATTAAGGGTCAGGTTTTCAACCTGGCAATCTTCTTTCGGTGATCTTTGAACTCACTCTCCTTGAATTTGTACTTTCACCAAGGGGTTAGCCATGTGGTGCCTTCTGTACGTTTGCCATTGCCACAGTAGGACCTGACCTCATTTCTTTCAGTCCTTCGATGCTGGCGGCCTTACCCTATCATAAGGGTGTTCTCCATCTGTGTCCTTCCTTCCTTCTGAGTGTGGTGTCGAGTTTACACCAGGTTGAAGTCTGTTCAGCTGTCCCTGTCTTTGCGACCTTTGCACCCGGAAGAGGTGGTGCTGCAGGGATTGGCAGATAGTTGATTGGGGCTTCTTCCTTGTGGGGGCTGGCTCCTCCCTTTCCGTTCACGGCACACTCCTTCGGAAAGCAAACTGGATTTTTTTTTTACTCCCCGTTAAAATCTCTTTCTCTGAGTTCATTGATGGACACAATGCCCACTCCTCTTTTTAAAGTTTTCTTACACTGCTTTGTGACTAACTGGATTGCCTACAGCAGAGTGGGGGTTTATACCAGTTAGAACTGCCCATAGGTGGTGCTGTGTTCTTTTTCTGCCTAGTGTCCTACGCCTGTACCTGACGATATAACCTTATGGTCAAGCACTGAAGATCTGTGTCCATCAGTGAACTCAGAGAAAAGGTTTTTAAAGTGAGTAACAAAAAAATCCCATTTTTATACTCACTGTAAAATCTTTTTTTTGGAGTCCACTGAGGAAAACCAGTCCCATTTTTTTGTGTTTATGATGCTTTTGGTATTGCTTTGCTACAAACTGTGTCACACTGATAATAGGAGGGGTTATACCTTGGGCTGGCCTACATTTTTTTTTAGTTTGCTGGTGCTTAATCCTCCTGTAGGCAGCAGTATATCCTGAAGGTTTAAGACTTCCTGTTGTCCTCAATGGACTCCAAGAAAAAGATGTTATGGTAAGTACAATTTTTTTTTTCTTCATTAGTTACTGGTCACTTGACTAACTGGTTAAATCACAGATATGAAAATAAAAGAAATAAAACGCTTCTCTTTTATGCATTCCAGTGCTTGAAGGATTAACAGGTTAACAAATGTTTTAGTGTAGGTGGAAGTAAGGAATGATCTGCTCTTTTTGGGTGGAACTTTTATGCGTATGGTATACTCTGTTTTTGTTTTCATTTTTACTGCTCATATGACTAGCTGGTGCATCGGCCTGCCATTTTTCATATCTTTTGTATGAAAACCTCTCCAAAGAAGTAGTTCCTTTTTGTATGGGTCCAATTGCAGTTTTAAATTGCAGAAATTAAAATAAAATAAATAAAAAACATCTATTTGATGCATAACAGTGCTTGAAAGATTAATCAGGTTGTTTAGTATAAGAGAATTAAAGTGATGATCTGCTCTTTTTTGGATGCACTTTTATGCATGTGGTATACTCTGTTTAATTACATTAATATTTATGTCAGCTTTTTCTATGTTAGTTTGTGTCTTTTAAATTATTTGATTTAAAGTACTAGACTGATAAAATAGCAAAGTAACAAAATACAAACTAGGTAGTTCAGTAGGAGATTCTATACAGAGTCATATGGGTAAAAAAAAGTAAATTGTATGATTAGGTTCAATTATCCAGTCATGTGAAAACAATCTGCTCATAATTGGGTATTCAAAGTGAAAAGGAATTTGTTTTCACCTAATTGGATAATTGAAGTGAATATTCACATGTTATTTTAATGAAGATACTTGACACTTTTAATAAATTAGCCATCTGGATTTGCCTTCAAAATTTTAAGCTTAACTGATGTTCACATACATCTGTTCCCAGTACCATTTGCAGTATTTTTAAAATAGACTTTGTTTTATACAGTAGCTTGAGATGTGTATGTATTAGGGAGCACTGTTAATGTAAAACCTCTGTAACCACCAATGATAACATATAATTGTTCATACTGTATGCCACTGTGTTTCAATATTAAATAATAGCAACTGCCAAAAACAAAAAAAAAATGTGAATACGATCACTTCAAAATCAACTCTGATCCCCTTTGATGAGTCTTCATCAAAAAGGAAAAAACCTTTTATATAGACAGTCACTTCAACATGCAGATAAGGTCACTTCAAATTGTGATCCAAAGGGTTAAAATTACACCTGAAAATAGCTTTCACACATGAGATCAAACTCCTCGTTTCCACCCCAAATCGCAAATTCTTAGACCAAAAATTAAAACTGCACTCGTTTGCCTCTCTAATTATTGAAAAGTAAGCAGGCTATTGGCTTGCAGACACTTTTTCCCTCTCCCTCTCTCCACTGTTGCATCACACTACACACAGTTGGTGGTGGCTGCTTCTGACACCTGCTTCTCTGCACTTATCATCCTATCATATGTTTGGTCATCAGTTAATGAAAGCAGATGAATCACAGAGTATAAAATCCTATTTGATTTAAAAAAAAAAAAAAACATAAAAAAATATTGCACTCGCATATTTTCAGTTCCCATCAGCACTATATACAGCGCTCCAAATCAGTATCGTAAGCATGTGTAGCGTTGTGGGGCCGCTCCAAGCTGGAGCTCAATAGTCACCTCACCGGTATGAAGGGGGAGCGGTGTTCTCGATAGTATCCAGTCTTGCAAGTGTAATGTAGAAAAGGAAGCCACTCGAACCGCGCAAGGAATCTAATATGAAGATGGCCTTAGCCGTTGCTCCGGCCACGCCCTCTGACACGTTTCACCCCGCCCACTAGAGTTTGGTCATGGAGGAGTGAGACAGAGACTCCTCTGTGACCAAGCACCGGGCAGGGCAAAATGCGTCAGTCGGCTTGGCCAGTGCGACAACTGAGGTCATCTTCATACTAGATTCCACACGCGGTTACAGCGGCATCCTTTTCTACATTACACTCCAAATCAGCAGATGTCTATATGTTTTGTCCTCACGCTTGCTCCCTGTGGCTTGTCCATGCACCAATGCGCGTCCATATGCTACACTTACACTGCTGCCCTGAGCTCACAGAAGCTCCATCTGCTGTTTGTGTACTGTTACCAGACTCTGCCACAATGCATTTTGTGCTAATGGACCTAGTGAACCTAGAGGTGCGATTGTCTTTATAAATCTGGTCCTAATTGCCGATAATATAAGTGCTTTGCACTGGAAAGAACGATGAGGCAACAGCGACTGATTAATGTTATGCTTGCCAGTAACAAAATGGCCAGCACTAAGGACTTGTCACCACCAGTCTTAGTCAGATGAAAAAGAGTATACAAAGTTAAAAAGGTCACAAATCACATCTGTGTTTGTCTCAGCCTCTGTCACTTTGCTAGACAACTTGATCTGCATATAGTTATTGTGGCAAAAATCTAAGTGAATGCATGTAAAATAAAATCTAAATATACTAAATACAATCAATACATACAATAATTGCATACAGTTAACAGAATGCAAAATTTTCATTTTTAGGTTCCTTTCAACCTCTAAGCCCTAGGCTAGAATTCAGGTTTCTATGCTGTATCTTTGCCTTTCTTTTTCTTTGTTTTCAATCATACGCAATAAAATTAAGACCACTTCTAATCCAGCTCAGGTATAGCATTTTTATAGGTTGCTTGTAGTGTGTGTTAAATGACATGCAATAAGGCCTCTTTCTTACTTTATGCACTTCGAAGGAGGATGTAAGTACTGGTCTCACCGCCAAGTGAGGTCCTTTCTGATGTGAAGTGTTGTGAGGTGTTAATGTGAGTGGCTGTGTTGTGGATTGTCAAAATAATAGGTACACTCCAAGTGCAAGTCTTCCCTTAGGCATTGCTGCACATGTTGTGTAAATATTTAATGAAGTGTCCATTTATAGCATTGGTAAATAGACAAGGCTGAATTCTCAGAAGCCTTTTTAAAATGCCAATATAAAATATACGATATACAGAATATTTGTCTAAGAACTGTCTTTAGAATTTGTGTGCGTTTTTTTTTTTTGCTTTTTTATATCTATAAATCAAAAGCGTGTCACACAACCTATTTCAATTTGATTGCGTCGTTCATACAGTACAATAGCATGATATTTGAGTGTGAACAGTGTGCAGTGGTCTATGCTATATTCAAATCCTAAGTAGTTTTATCTGAGCAGGCATTTGTTTGTCATTTTATTAAGGACATTTGCCAAGCCACCAAGAGCTGTTCAGGTTGTATGCGAGTGCATCCTTGCCATGAGAGGCTACAAGGAGATCAGCTGGAAAAGTGCAAAGGCAATGATGTCTGAACCAAATTTTCTGAGAATACTTATGGATATGGACTTCGATGCCATCACACAGAATCAAGTCAAGACTGTTAGAGGTGTTAATGCTATAAATATATATACTATATTATTATTTTACAGTATTTATAAAGCGCCAACAGTTCGCTCAGCGCTGTACATTACAAAGGGAGACAGAACATGCGACAGTACAAAACAATACAATGTGATACATGAGGGGTTCGAGGGCCCTGCTCTTTCGAGCTTACAATCTAGGAGGGAAGGGATAGTGGTACAGGAGGAGATAGCTGTGGGGAATGGAGTGGTAGGAAGAGTGGAGGAGGTCGGAAATTAGCAGGGGGTGGGGTAGGCTTCCCTAAAGAGGTGGGTTTTCAGGGTGCGCCTAAATGAAAGGAGAGTAGGTGATAGTCTGATGGATTGGGGTAGGGAGTTCCAGAGGATAGGTGATATCCTGGAGAAATCCTGGAGGCGGGCATGGGAGGAGGAGACCAGGGAACTAGAGAGAAGGAGGTCTTGAGAGGAGCGGAGTGTGCGTGTTGGGTGGTACTTGGATATTAAGTCAGTGATGTGGTTTGAGGCAGTATGATGGACAGCTTTGTATGTTTTAATATGTTAATATTATATATGCTACATATAATTACACTGCACTATACAGTATATGATATGTATAATTTTTCCATTAATCAGCTTACTAAACTATTTATCTCTCACGTCTGGTGTTTTTTTTTAGGTTTCTTGAAAAACCTTAATGCAACGCTCGAGGAAATGGAAAGTATTAGTAAGGCAGGCTTAGGAATGCTGAAATTTGTAGATGCCGTGATGGGTTACTGTGATGTGGCTAAAGAAATTAAGCCAAAGAGAGAAAAGGTAGAGTCTACTATCTGCAGTGTGCATATGGTGAACGTGTTACTATACAAATTATGATCTACAGAATTGATGGCAGTAGTTTTGTCTTTTCACACTAAATTATTGAATATTTGGGGGCACAACAATAGTTTGTACAGTACATAAAGTATTTTATTCTGCAAAAAATCCAACACATTCTGGGGGCTCAACACCATCCCCTGTCATCAGAACTAAAATCAACAAAATGCAAAAAAGAAAGTCCTTGAATGTTTTAAAAATCAAAATATTTAAAACTATATTTATATACAGGTAAAATGTCCCCAATGTACTCTTATTGAAGCTAAAAAAAAAACTCTGTTGAGAATAAAATGCAGTTCATATATGAGAATAAATTATGGTTCATATAGGAGTATAAAATAGTTCTAATACAATCCACTGTTGCTGCTCCCATCTTTTTAGTACTTTAGCAAACTCTTCCAAGGTTTCAAAAGAACACTGTGGTTGTTGGCTCAGCGCTCCTATACCACAAAGCGCTTTGTAGCACTTTATACAGAGATATTACAAAAGTAATATCTCACCAAGCCATCCTTGACTCCACTTGTGGCAGTGGATAAAAATATATTTTAATCATTAGGTTTTGTTTCCATCCATTCCACACTATTTCCTGTAAGACTGTGGCATGGCATATGTATGCAGGACTTAGAATGGATCCCCAGCTCAAACTTTTTTATGTTTTGGATTAAATGTAGAAGGTTTAGAACCTGTGCGAAGGATATTTATCCTTTTTCCCAGAGACATTAAAGGGAGTGAGTATACATTTCTCTAGAAAACAAATGTGTTTAAAAAAGTCCAATTGTCTTTTAAAAATGGAACAGGATGCTTCCCATTTTATCTGAGCTGCTTGAATCTGCTCTTCCAGTGCACCCGAAAGTATGTAAAGTAAAGTAAAATATTTTCCAATATATGAAATGTTGGTACAGTTCATTTCCAACAGAGAAAAAAGATTAATTTCCACTAGCATTAATCATATTTTTCCACTACTGACATGTAGGGTACTGAATGTTATACAATAGAGAAAATATACTGTATATATCAGTGATGGCGAACCCGTGGCACGCGTGCCACAGCCGGCACGCCGAGCCTTATCTGTGGGCACGCCAGGAGAATACCGTATTTTTCGCTCCATAAGACGCACTTTTTTTCCCCCAAAAAAGGGGGAAAATGTCAGTGTGTCTTATGGAGCGAATATAGAGCGGCCGGTCCGGTATTTCCACCGCCGCCGTGTCAGAATACCGGGCCGGCCGCTCAGCTCTGCAGTGGGACCGTACCTGTCCCTCTATCCAGCGGCGCGCTGTCTTCCCGGCTTCTGTAGTGTGCGTGACAGCCGGGTCCCAAGTGCGCATGCGCAAGAAGCAGTGCTCTTTGTGAATGGTAAGGCGGTACCTGGGACACATGACAGATCCCAGAAGCCGCCGGACCAATCACAAAGCGCAGCGCTTCTCGCGCATGCGCACTGGGCATCCGGCTGTCCGACGAGTGCCCACACTACAGAAGCCGGGAAGACAGCGCGCGGCTGGATAAAGGAACAGGTAAGATAAAAAAAAAAACTCTGCGGAAGTAAGAGCGGGTACCTGTCAAATTCAGGTACCCGCTCCCCACCTCCCCAAAGGTCAGCAGTCATCTGTACTGTCCGCATCTCTGGTCATCCCTGTGCTGTCCGCAGTCTCTGGTCATCCCTGTGCTGTCCGCAGTCTCTGGTCATCCTTGTGCTGTCCGCAGTCTCTGGTCATCTCCTGTACTGTCCGCAGTCTCTGGTCATCCCTGTACTGTCCGCAGTCTCTGGTCATCCCTGTACTGTGTCCGCAGTCTCTGGTCATCCCTGTACTGTCCGCAGTCTCTGGTTATCCCTGTACTGTCCGCAGTCTCTGGTCATCCCTGTACTGTGTCCGCAGTCTCTGGTCATCCCTGTACTGTGTCTGCAGTCTCTGGTCATCCCTGTACTGTCTGCAGTCTCTGGTCATCCCTGTACTGTCCGCAGTCTCTGGTCATCCCTGTACTGTGTCCGCAGTCTCTGGTCATCCCTGTACTGTGTCCTGCAGTCTCTGGTCATCCCTGTACTGTGTCTGCAGTCTCTGGTCATCCCTGTACTGTGTCCGCAGTCTCTGGTCATCCCTGTACTGTCCGCAGTCTCTGGTCATCCCTGTACTGTTAATTAGTTTGCACTACTGTACGAGTTGTTTTTTCTAAACCAAAAGCTCGATATTCAGGTTTCATTGCAGTGTTGGCACTTTGAAAGAAATAAGTTGGTTTTGGGTTGCAGTTTGGGCACTCGGGCTCAAAAAGGTTCGCCATCACTGGTATATATCATATAAAAATGGATTGCCTATCCTGTCATACTGATTACTTTCTTTGCAATATAGGTGGCAAAGCTAGAAAGGAACTATTACATGAGTAAGCGTGACCTGGAGAAGATTCAGGCTGAGCTCGCTGCCATCCAGAGTGAACTGAAAACCCTAGGAGAGCGCTATGAGGCTGCCATAACAGAGAAGCAAAAACTGCAAGAGGAAGCAGAAATAATGGAGCGCAGGCTGATCGCAGCTGATAAACTCATCTCTGGACTGGGATCTGAGAATATAAGGCCAGTACTGTATATTATGGATCTGTGATGTAAATTGTCTAAGATTAGGATAAGCAAAGCCTATAAAAATGATGTTGCTGTACAAATTTATATAAATGAACTGCTTACAGCCTATAGGCCGCATAGTCAGCTACCAATTGTGCAAGTTCTCCCACTTAAAAAGATGAGAGAGGCCTGTAATTGGCATCAAAGGTAGACCTCAAGTATGAGAGACAAAATGAGAAAAAAAATCCAGACAATCACATTGGCTGATTTGGAAAGAATTTATTTGCAAATTATGGTGGAAAATAAGTATTTGGTCAATATCAAAAGTTCATCACAATACTTTATTATATATCCTTTGTTGGCAATGACAGAGGTCAAACGTTTCCTGTAAGTCTTTATAAGGTTGGCACACACTGTTGCTGGTATGTTGGCCCATTCCTCCATGCAGATCTCCTCTAAAGCAGTGATGTTTTGGGGCTGTCGCTGGGCAACACGGACTTTCAACTCCCTACAAAGGTTTTCTATGGGGTTGAGATCTGGAGACTGGCTAGGCCACTCCAGGACCTTGAAATGCTTCTTACGAAGCCACTCCTTCGTTGCCCGGGTGGTATGTTTGGGATCATTGTCATGTTGGAAGACAAAGCCACATTTTATCTTCAATGCCCTTGCTGATGGAAGGAGGTTTGTACTCAAAATCTCACGAAAAGGGTTAATGCAGTGTAAAAAGAGGTTCTTAATGTAACCCAGCAGTAACACAGAATTTGAAGTTTTATATATTTTCTGTAGGTGGACCAAGGATCTGGAAGACCTGAAGGAGAGACGAGTGAAGTTACTTGGAGACTGTTTGCTGTGTTCTGCATTTCTTAGCTATGAAGGAGCTTTCAACTGGGAGTTCCGTAAAGAAATGGTATACACAGCATGGCAGCAGGATATACTGGACCACAATATCCCACTGAGCCAGCCTTTCAGGATAGAGAGCTTACTTACTGATGATGTTGAAATTAGCAGGTAACTTATAATAATTTTCCCTGTTTTAATGTAATTCTTATAGTTCTACTATAAACTGAAACTATACCTGAATGCTTTTAACATGACATTTAAATATCTGATGTAACTGTCACAAATGTCATCTAAATAAATAGCTAAATGTAATTAAAACTGTACAAAAATTCATCTTACTGCCCCTTTCCTCTAAAACAAAACTCACAGGTTTAAAGTGTATATCTAGTCAAAACGTTATTTTTGTAGTTTTTGATAGAGTGGGGAAGGATCTGAAATTTGAACCTTTGTTGTGTTTTACTAGGACTCCATTATAGAGATTTTCCCTTACTTCTTATTCTGGTGACATTGATTCAATAGCAATACACAGGAAAAAAATGCCCTTTCTTCGTAGAGTAGGGGAACACTGATGAAAGCATTGTCACCATGACAGTAAGCCCACAGTTAGCACTAAATTTTCAGCATGAACCAAACCTTTTTTATACTGTATCCAAACAAAAAAAAATCTTTGGCTAGCACTTTAAGCTTGTGGGGTTTTTTTTGGGTGAGGCATCTTTCATTTAGACCAGTCAGGATAAACAAGGACTAATGCTGATTGGTTGTATGCGTTTGGCTAGGGCTTTCAGCCATTAGGCCAGGTTCATACAGGCTTCATAAAGCGAGCCCTGGACATATTTTTTCAACACCTTCCCAATCACTCACCAACCACTGGGTATGAAAGGGTGCATGAAGCTGAACATTGTATACAGCATTTAAACTTCAGTATTTTCTCAACAATACATGTGAATGGAGCCTGCACAACCCAGGCACTAATGCTCTTCTGAGCCTCAGTTTTCACTTTTTTCCCTGACTTTTGAGTTACAGTGTGTCTATAGTTTTACCATTGTGATACAGTGTTTAAAAAATGATGTATAATATGAACATTTGTAAAGTGTAAATTCAAATATGAATCACAGCGCCACCCCGACCCTTGCTTCCATTAATTTTTAACATAGGAATCTTATCTCACACTCAGGGGCGGACTGACCATTTGGAAACTCTGGCACTGCCCGAGGGCGCGGGGTCAGTAGGGGGCCCCATGAGATGCCCCTGGCACCTTTTTCATAGGCTTTTTTGAGTTTGGGCAAGGACACAGGGGCCCCATGATCCCCTATTGCCCAGGGGCCCCATGAGTTGTCAGTCCGCCCCTGCTCACACTTCAAATGTTGCCAAGGGGAAGGCAGTGCTTTCCAGCCAACAGTTTCAGCCTGTTCTTCTGTATTATCCAGATTCATATTCCAAAGCATGCCTTGTCATATGTATGACGTAATGGAACTATTAAGTGCACAGGCATACTTTGGACTCGGGCTACCATTGCTTGATACTCATTGTGCAGGCATGCTTTACTGGTTATAGGGCTGGAGTACAGAGGAGAAACAGTATGGGTTGCAGCTTGCAAAATAAATGCTTGGCCAATAATTAAATATTATCTCTTGGCTAAAACTTGTGAATATCACGCTTTTATCTTAATACGTATTAGAGAACACTGAAATTCTTTCACCTCACTTGCTAGCAAGGGAAGAAAAGAGTGGAATACTGAAATCTGAAAAGCGAACATCTTGACAATACATAAAAAATAATTATCCACAGGAAATAAATGTACTCTAAGCTGGGTCTCAACTAGAATTCAAAGCATCATATGGCAACTACTGTATGTTTGCTGCGCAAATGAGTACAGACCGTAGGTCAAGGTGTTTTAAGCTTTTTGCTGGAACTTTAGGAGAACAGCAGCTGTAACATATTCCTTTCCTACAGATGGGGATCAGAAGGATTACCTCCTGATGAGCTCTCCATACAGAATGGAATACTGACCACTAGGGCAAGTCGTTTCCCATTGTGCATAGATCCTCAACAACAAGCATTGAACTGGATTAAAAGGAAAGAGGAGAGAAATAACCTTAAGGTAGGTTTACCGCTCATCTCTTCAAATAAATGTCCAAATATAGAAGAAAAGTCTGAGAGCTTTGGTTGTGTAATAAGTGTGAAAATATTGGCTCATGTTTATATGAGCCTACTTTAAGGTCTACTATCACTAATAAATATTGTATTTTTAGTTATTTTTAATATCTTTCATATTTTTTAAACCTTTTTTTTTTTTTTTTCCAAATGTTGCTGTCCATTTGAAACTACATGTTAATCTACAGTGGGGAATATAATTATTTGATCCTCTGCAGATTTTGTAAGTTTGCCTACTTACAAAGAAATGTTTTATAATTTTTATATCATATGTATTTTACATGATAGAGACAAAATATCAACCAAAAATTCAGAAAAACACGATACAAATCTTATAAATTGAGTTGCAGTTCAGTGAGTAAAATAAATATTTGATCCCCAAGCAAAACATGACTTAGTACTTGGTGGAGAAACCCTTGTTGGCAAGCACAGAGGTAAGACGTTCATCTCAGGAGTGATTTTGGTCCACTCTTCTTTAAAGATCTTCTCTAAATCCTTAAGGTTTCTTGGCTGTCACTTGGCAACTCAAAGTTTCAGCTCCCTCCATACATTTTCTACAGGATTAATGTCTGGAGACTGGCTAGGCCACTCCATGACCCTAATCTCTTCCCGTCTGCCCATTGTACAAAGATGGCGGACGGGAAGCAGCGCTGATGCGGCTAATGTTCCTGTATGTCAGCCCGCATCGGTGGCTCCTGTGCGGTTCACAGAGCTCGCACCCTGGAGCCTGGTGATTGGTGTGTCACCCGGACACAGCGGATCAGATTACCGCTGTGTTCAGGCGATCACATGGTGTTTTAGCATGTGACTGCTGTGACCAATCACAGCACTCACATTGTAAACAATGAAACTGAAAGTAAAGATAGCTTCTCTCTGCTCTCAGTGTGAGAGTAGAGAGAAGCGATCCTGCAGTGTGTGAGTGTACAGCAGCCTGTCAGGCTGCATGTACACTCACAAACTGCAGTGCCAGCCACCTCAGTGCCCCAGTTCAGTGCCCCTGTGTCTCTGATCATTGCGTCACAATATCAATGATAAATAATGCAGGGAGGCCCTGCCACCTTTCATAGTGGGCACAAAACCCCCCCATACACCATACCCATGTCCTGATCACCGCCATACCAGTGTCCTGATCTCCACCATACCCCAAACCAACACCCTGATCACTGCCATATGCCATACCAGTGCCTTGATCACCTCCATACACCACACCAGTGCCCTGATCACCACCATACACCATACCAGCACCCTGATCACCGCCATACCCCATACCAGCATCCTGATCACTGCCATACTCTATACCAGCATCCTGATCACCACCATGCCCCATACCAGCATCCTGATCACCCCATATGCCATACCAGCATCCTGATCACCGCCATACCCCATACCAGCGTCCTGATCACCGCCATACCCCATACCATCACCCTGATCACCACCATACCCCATACCAGTGTTTTGATCACTGCCATACCCCATACCAGCATCCTGATCACCCCCCACCCCATAACAGCATCCTGGATACTGCCATACCAGTGTCCTAATCACTGCAATACCTCATGCTAATGTCCTGATCACTGCCATACCCCATACCAGTGTCCTGATCACTACCATATGCCATACCAGCGTCTGGCATTTTAGGATCTCAAATGATCAATTTTCAAATATATTTCCCATAGTTTGTACACTCTATAACTTTCACACAGACTAAATAATACAAACTGTTTTGGGTTATTTTTATCCTAAGAATGTAGCATTTTGACCTAAATTTATGAAGAAAACATATATTTGCAAAATTTTATAAAAAAAAAAAACAAGCGCAAAATGATTTTTTTTAAAACATTTTCGGGATTTTTTAATTTATATAGCAAAAAATAAAAAAAACAAGTGGTGATCAAAAGACCAAAAGAAAGCACTATTTGTCTCAGAAAAAGGATAAAAAATTAATATGGGTTTAGTGTTACATGACTGAGAAATTGTCACTCAAAGTGTGATAGTGCTGAAAGCTGAAAATTGGCCTGGACTGAAGTGGTTAATGTGCTTCCTCTTGAGCCACTCCTTTGTTACCTTCGCGGTATGTGTTTGGTCATTGTCATGCTGGAAGACCCATCCACGACCCAACTTCAGTGTTCTGGCTGAGGGAAGAAGGTTCTCATCCAAGATTTTACAATACATGGCCCCGTCCATTGGCCCCTTAATATGGCAAAGTCAGCCTGTACCTTTAGGAAAGAAACAGCCCCAAAGCATAATGTTTCCATCTCTGTGCTTCACTGTAGGCATGGTGTTCTTAGGGTCATAGTCAGCATTTTTCTTTCTCCAAACTCAGCGAGTATACAGGCGTTGTATGACACTAAATCTCAATCCAGCTCAGCTAAAGAAGATAAAGAAGGGTGTGCATCCCCTGAAATATGTCAACTTGCCAGGGCAGCATCACAGTGTGTTTGCCCATGCTATTCCTGCACTGTACTGAGATTTTGTGTCATACAACGCCTGTGTACATTTATTTTTGTGAGCATCCATTGGGCGGTATGTTTTGTTTTATACAATAAACCTTTGGCAGTGCACTAGGTCTATGTGCCCTCCTGTGTGCTGTTTTAAAATTGGGAAGAGTTACAGTTGTGACCAAAATTATTCAACCCCCACTGAAATTGAGTGTTTTGGCCAGTTTGACATTGCTTTTGATCATTCAGTCATCTTGCTTACATTTACATTAAAGAGGCACTTGTAGGTCAGACAAATATAACATAACAGTTATAATGAAATAACCACAAATGTCTTTTCTGTGCTCACAGCATTATCAGTTTTTATTCAACCCCCAAGTGACATTCAATCTTAGTACTTAGTACAGCATCCTTTTACAGTTATAACAGCTTTTAAACGTGAAGCATAGCTTGACACAAGTGTCTTGCAGCGATCTACGGGTATCTTCGCCCATTCTTCATGGGCAAAGGCCTCCAGTTCAGTCACATTCTTAGGCTTGCGCACTGCAACTGCTTTCTTTAAGTCCCACCAGAGGTTCTCAATCGGATTTAAGTCTGGTGACTGCGATGGCCACTCCAAAATGTTCCAGCCTTTCCTCTGCAACCATGCTCTAGTGGACTTGGAGGTATGCTTGGGATCATTGTCCTGTTGAAAGGTCCAACGTCTCCCAAGCCTCAGGTGTGTGACGGACTGCATCACGTTTCCATCCAATATCTCCTGGTACTGAAGAGAATTCATGGTACCTTGCACACGCTGAAGCTTCCCTGTACCTGCAGAAGCAAAACAGCCCCAAAGCATGATTGACCCTCCACCATGCTTCACAGTAGGCAAGGTGTTCTTTTCATCATAGGCCTTGTTCTTCCTCCTCCAAACATAGCGTTGATCCATGGGCCCAAACAGTTCTAATTTTGTTTCATCAGTCCACAGAACACTATCCCACAACTTTTGTGGTTTGTCCACATGGCTTTTGGCATACTGCAGTCGACTCTTCTTATTCTTTGGAGACAGCAAGGGGGTACGCCTGGGAGTTCTGGCACGGAGGCCTTCATTACGCAGTGTGCGTCTTATTGTCTGGGCTGAAACTTCTGTACCCACATCTGACAAATCTTTTCTCAGTTCCTCAGCAGTCACACGGGGACTTCTCTCCACTCTACGCTTCAGGTAGCGCACAGCAGTCGAAGTCAGCATCTTCTTTCTGCCACGACCAGGTAGCGTTTCAACAGTGCCCTTTGCCTTGAATTTGCGAATGATGCTTCCTAAGGTGTCTCTTGGTATGTTTAACATCTTTGCAATCTTCTTATAGCCATTGCCCTTCCTGTGAAGAGAAATCACCTCTTCTCTTGTCTTCCTGGACCATTCTCTTGCCTTCACCATGTTTGTAACCACACCAGTAAATGTCTAGAAGGAGCTGAGTATCACAGTCATTTTAAAGCTGCCTAATTGGTGCTTATTATGCTTGATTGCTGCTCGGTGACATCCACAGGTGTTTTCAATACCTGATGGAAAGCACCTGTATGAACCTCTGTTCTTCAGAGTGGTAGTCTTTAAGGGGTTGAATAATTGTGGCAATGAAGAAACCACATAAGAACCATTTACTACTGTATTACATAAACAATTGATGTCATTTTAGTTGCATTTGGGTAGTTACAACGTCCTTGTAGGATTTGATTCTGAATACAACAATTCCAAATGTACACTATAGTCCCTAAACCCCTTTACAGCATTTGGGGGTTGAATAATTTTGGTCACAACTGTAAAATCTCCATAATTGCTGAAAATACACAAGTGTGAGTTCATCCTTAGAGTGAGCAAAATACTGCTTCATTGTGCTAAAAATCAACATTGTAAATAGCTCAGCACACCTGTCAACTTTGGACTATAAATGTTATGCTTTTTCTGAATAAAAACTATGATTTTTCTTGGGGCGCTTACCACAAGTTTGTAAAATCTACCAAAATGGTTGCCACATACTGTATGCTGTAAGTTTGGCTATCCAGGCTCTCTCACGAGAATGGATATGATGAAAGTTGTAAGCTTTGCTCTTCAACTTCCAGCATATATATGACATATGTCACTCCAAACTGTCATTCTTCTGCTTATCATGCCCACTTGCTCACTCAATAAAAAAAATCAGGTGCCTGTGAATTTATCATCTCAGCCATCAAAGACCTGCACTTTAAATAGGGAGGAGGCTTCTATGTGTTCATCTTCTTCTTGCCCAAACCACCCTCTAATTGATTGGTTGAAAGGCTGACCTGGTCTCTGATTGGTTTGAAACCTGAGATGTGCTTTCCAATCCTCAGCATTTTCCCAAGATTGCTGGGAGGAGGCAAATTACTTCTCTTAGCTATCAAAAACTGTGCTGTGAACAGGGGTACAGTTCAAGTAAGTGAAAGGCTGAAAAGCTTATATGGAAACCTATACAGGGCAAATCTTTGATGGCTGAGAGGAGCCATTTCACTTCTTCTA